TAGAACTTAATAACCTGTGACACAGTAAGGCCAAAGACGTCCCAGTCCATTTCTTTGCACCACAGGACACTGTGTCACCTCACAGAGTGACCTTCTTCACCACTTTGATTGCTGTTTCACTCTCTACTTACAGTCACATGACAAGGTATGTTTATATTATATTATATTATATAAAAGTTCTGATGAGGGGAGGAGAGGGAATGGAGCCGGTGACAGAACCCTTGGGGTTGAAGTCATACAGCTCTCTGAGGGTCCTTGATTTGGGACTCCATGTGGAGACAAGGGGCCAGGGAAGGGCTTCTGGGTGAGGGATGTTTCAAGTTTCAATTGCAAGTGTGGATGGGCCAAATGACTAGCCAGACCCAGAGAGGACAGGCAAGGCCCAGGATGCCGGGCACGGAGTGCTGTGCCGAGCCTTCCTTGGGGCAGGCCTGGGTCACAGGGAGGAGTCCTGAGAGGCAGGCAGCAAGCGCACACAGGGCCTCCACCCAGAGCCCAGGTCTGTGAGCCACGTCCGGAACACCACTGAGGCTCATCACAGGAAGACCCAATAAAGTGCATGCCAATCACCAAAACGGACAGCTGAGGTTCTCGACACAGGAGCTGGTTCAGAATCAACCTCAACTGGATAGGGGTTGGCATTAGATGAGGGAGGGTGAAATTCAGACTGGAAAATGACCACAGCCTTTTCCAGTCAAAGATAGAAACAGTGAAGAAGGAGACATGTTAATTTACGTAAAATGATAGATTTATTCCTTTTTATTCCCCAAACACTGATCAGCTATATAAACAGTATATAGTATTTGCCTAGAAAGAAAGTAACATTTTATTATTTATATTCATCACATATATTCTATAAAATGGCTTAGAGTGTGGTTAACTTTTAATTCTATGATTTTTCTTTAAATCATCAGTTCTATATGGGACCTGTCTCCATACAGTGACCAGCACATCTAACTTTGAGGTGAAATGAGGGAGCGAGACTTCTGAACTGTAACAATGGCCACAGGCTGCGTCAGTCAACTGCATGCTGCCATCAGGAATCGCACTGGTCACGTGACCACGTCTTCTCCCCGGGAGGGTGGAAGAGTTAGGGCCCCTGCCTGTGTCTCTCAAGTCCCTCACTGACAGGTGGGCTGTAGGTCCACTAACCAAAGTAACTGATGGTTTGCACTCAGTCTAAGGGGGCACTGCCTCTGCCTGCAGGAATAGAGCAGGGCAAGCTTCAAGGCACAGTGAACATTACACAAGGCCACGGCCGCATGTTATTTAAGCTTCTTAGCAGGACCTGTGAGACCCTTCACTATGTGTCCCTTGTCGACCCAGTTCCACCATCTTACTGTCTCTATCTAGTATAACTGAAGTTCCCTAGATGACCATGTTTTAATTCCAAAAATATTTATGGAGAGCAACAAATTAAAGCGAACACCTTTATTTGTGCTGTCAGGCATGCTTCTGATTTTCACAGCAATGCTGAAGTAGGTGCCACCACTGTGCCCATTCTATGGCTGGGAAAATTGCAGTTCAGGGAGGTGGAGTCACCCAGGCTACAACGCTAATGACTGGCAGCTGGAATGTGAATGCTCCATGTGGGCATCTTCTCTCCATGGATTCTAATACTCTGCTTGGCACCTTCCGGACCTCTAACCGCCCTGCCTGGGGTATGCTTCCCTTTTCCATGCACCTACAGAGCACCAAATATGTACCCGTCACAGCTCTCCGACATGTTTCATGGCAGACTGTGGCACCTTCAAGGACAGGAACCAGGACTCACTAACTGCACTCCTCCTACCTGCAGCAGGGCAGAGACTCAGCAAATGTCCTCAATGAGTGCCGACACCCTGCTCTGACTCAGAACTCCTTGGGCACAAACCAAACCTAAGTTAAACCAAGGCTCTCCGTGAAGGGACCTGGGCAGCTGCAGGGCAGGGGCAGAGAGGGGCGGTTGTCAGTCACGATGTCAGCTGATGCAACGTGTGAGGGACTCCCAGGGATGCCAGCTATCTGGAATGAAAACACCTTCTCTTAAGAAGCTTTGACCCCACAGTGGAGTTGGGGGACTCTGGGTCAAGGCAGACAAATCTCAGCTCCCCTAGTCACCAGGTATGAGGGCTGTAAGAGAGATTTCACCTTTGAAGCTTACACCTGGGAAGAGAGGGCACCAGGCTGAGGATCCCTTCAGGTCAGGGTAGTTTCTATGAGCAAAGGAATAGGGTTTGTTAGTCCATCACCTCCAGGAGGTCATGAATAGAGGGTCCCATTTCTTGTATATCCATGTATTCCCAATGCCTCCTTTGCATCTGGTATTGAATTCATATCTAATTTAATAATTGCTGTCATATGATAAAAATGGATTTGGGGTGGGAAGCAATGGCAAGGAGAAGGAGACTTGGGAGGATTGCTATGTTCCCCTAGGGACCCGAGAGGACTGGCTCCCACAGAGGGTCTTCCTGTGGCAGAAATCAGGCAAGGCAAAGTCTTTCCTAAATCAGAGCAGACTGTCACAGGAGAGCAGGAGGGAGGGCTCCTACTCCACAGTGCTTGGGACCTTCCTGGGCTGATGACAGGCTGAGGAAGCTGGGAAGTCTTCTAAAAACCGAGAATAAGCACAGAGATGTATGATAACTCCCCGAATTAGCTCTGAAGACCATCTGGGCACTGGCCCTCTGCCTATCTCTAATTCCTGATTTACGAAACCGACATTTATGGAACAACAGAGTTGGCAATAAGAGAGGATCAGATCAGTCCTGGCTGGCTCAATGGGTGGAGGAAGGGCTCATGAGCCAAGGACTGAAGGTGGCCTCCAGAAGCTAGCACCGGCTGGAGCCTCCAGAGGTAAGAACAGGGCACTGATGCTATTTTGATTGCAGTCAGGATTATATTTCTGACCCACAGATCTCTAAGATGTATTTTCACTGTACAAAACACCCCAAAAGATGCCTCCATTTATTATTTGATAAAAGTCGATTCCTAAAGCAACATGAAGAACAATAAAAACTACCTATCCCGTGCTCAGGAGATGTGGCACAGGCTGCGTTCCCTTTCTGTGCAAGGAGAGAAGTCCAAACCCAACAAGGACAATGACTGACTTCTTGTGGTCTAAGAGAATGATGAAGAGGATTACTTTCATTTGAAAGTCGATCTAATTGTTTCAGTTAAATTTGGCAGATATATTTCTCATTTATATCAAATATGTGAATCCCATCTGGCAAGTGAACTTGAGCTGCATCATTTCAAGTCACACAGCTCTCACATTATCACCTCACTTAGACTTATAAGGATGATGGGAGATGCAAGCACCCTTCCTACTGCGCTGATGCAGAATCTAGCAAGATTTGCCTAGAGTCACGCAGGAATCACAGAGCTCAAAAAGCAACACTTAGAAAGCAAAACTGTCAACAAGATCAGGGGCTGCACAGTGTTTTTGATGGTTCAGAACCAAGCAAGAATATCTGACAAAACCAAATTAATAATCCCTTTCCTTTATCAACCATTCCTTTACTATATCTGGATTCTGATAAAGAATTTTGAAATAATTTTATGAAGCACCTTTTATAACACTCATTCTATGAAAGTGATACATTTTTTTTGCAAAATTCAGAAGCATAAAAAAATCATACTTTCATGAGACTAGGATAATTATTGACCAAAACTTCCTGCAGATCTGATTTTTTTGCATGTGCGTATATATGTACAAAAATAAAATTGGGATCATATTATACACTAGGTTAGAAAAATAGCTTCTGTACAACTTAATAATATGGAAAACCTTTTCATGTTATTGGCCAGTCTGCTATGTTTACTGAAGAAACTGATCTGAATATCTAAATACTGTGAGGGCCTGAGCCTCCAATCTCCTTAGCCTATAACACAGCTTCCTGGGCCTGACTGGTTTAGATGCGGGCAGCTTCTTTTCTGGCCTGCAGAGTCAGTCTGCTAGGTCCCTGGTGTGGGAGTGGGAACCAGCATGGGGAAGACCGCCCTTCCCTGCAGCTCGGGATCACGCTGCAAAGGACTCTTACCTCGGTTTGCTCCAGGCCATGACCGGTTCCTCTGATATTCCAAGGCAGCTGATATTTCCTAACAAAAGAAAAGATCTTTTTACTCAAAATAAAAAGAAAACCTCTTGAAAATAAAAATTAACATTTTATATAATCTACAAACAAAAACTTAAGCCAAATGATTTAAAGAATAACTTTATAAATCTGTCAGTTTTAAGAATGCCCTCGACTACTAATCAAATAATGTATTACAATAACTAGTTATGAGGTTTTACATTTATTTAATAGGGAATAATTGGCCCCAATTAAACTGACTAAACTAAGGCTTTTTAGATTACTAAAACAAATTAAACTTTTTAAAATGAGAATTTAGGTGATCTTAAAGCCTTTCTAAAATGGATACTGAAACTTGCTAAGTTGTATTCTCTCTGGTTTTATTAGTTATATTAAGATAAATTAAGTGAGATTAAAATCTTATTTGATTTATTTACCTTTGAAAATGAAGACCGTTTAAGGGTTACACATCCTCAGCCTTGGCGAGTGGACCTCAATTAGTCCAGTCAGAATGTCTTTAAAAGCTTTGTGCTTATTGCTTCCAGCATGGAGCGAGGTGTTCATTAAGGAACCAAAAGTTTCATAAAAAATCCAAAGTTGCACTAGTGAAAAAACGCTCAACAAGATGAAAACTGATCACATCTTTTCCAGAAAATCCAGTAGTTATTTTAAAACCAGTTTTTAAACAAGATTTGGTTTTGCGTAGTTTTAACGTGCCACTCAAGCAGCTTGATACCATTTGGACTCTTTAAACAGCATTTAGATCTACGGTGAGCATATAATGGTACATTTAATTTTATACCATTTTTAAAGTAAGTTGTACAATATTTAGTGTGACCCTTTTATGACAAGCATTGTTAAAGGAATTCTTTCCCTGTTTACAACTATTTATGAAGGCCTTTTTAAATAAGAAAAACATGAAATTGTTAGCTCACACACACGAAATTTCTTTCAAAAGTTTATTTAGTATCAAGCAAGAGGAGACTTTGCTTAACACTACAGAACATTTCAAGACTTGAGTTACAAAAGAATACCACATTATTTGCACTTATAATTGGCTTCCCTTTTTACGCATGTTGGCAAGAGAAAAAAAAAACTAGCATATGGCTAAAAGATAAAATAACTAAATTCTATGGAAACCTTTAAAATGAAAGGTGAGGCTTATGTTAAAAGAATGGATTAACATATTTAGTAAACCTATTTGTTTTAACACTAGTTAATCAAAGTTATTTTTTTTTCCTTTTGATGACCTATTTTTTCATATACAGACTGGAAATAACAAAATTTTACATGTCTTTTTTTTCCTGCCCAAGTTGATGTTTCAACAAAGTAGTTTTAAGTTCCATCCATTCATATTTTAAGCATTTGATTTATTTAAAAAGGGATTGTTCATAGAAAAAAATTACTTTGAACAGTATACAGGACGGGTGGAGATTGGCTATTTCACAACATCAGACAGTACAATCAGTATCTGCCATATGGCTGGTCTCTGTAGATGCCCTTCGCTGTCCTCGATGAAGGTGCCTTGTGTCTTGAGTTAGTCCACTCCTCTTGCCCTGTAATCGGGAAGATGAGTCACAATTAGTCACTGCCATGGACCTAGTGGCCTCATCTGTCAGAATGTGACTTCACCCTAAACCAGTGGCAGATGTCACAATCAAGAGACACACTTCTGAGGCACCCATAGAAGCAGCGCCAGGGTCTCGCCTTAGGAAAACCACACACACTGGAAAACAACCATCTCACTAGAAAACCAGCACCTGGGGGGGAAAAGGGCTTGCACCTGATCTGCCAACCGCCTCGGCAACCACCACCACAGCTCACAAACCACGCAAGACTCAACTGCCCTTGGCCGAACACGGGGACATCTATGAGCGGGAAACAGAGGGGTGAGGATCACTGGAGCTCCTTCTAACAGTGAAAATGAAGAGAGAGCTCACAGATAATGTGTGAAAACAGAGGAGAAAAACTGGAGAATGAAATGGGAGCAGGAAGATTGAGGGAGAGAAAGGGAGTCTCGCTCCTCTTTGGCCCTTTTATAGAAAGACTGAAGGAAAGCTGCCCTGGTAGGAGGTGGGCCTCCAGAGGACCCCTGGGCCCAGAACAGGCCCGACACCCACAAAACCCCACTCACTCGTGGATAACCAAACACATTCTATGATCTTTTCTCTTGGAAATAAACACCTGTTCCTCCTCGGGATTCTCAGCAAATTATCTGCAGGCCTTTGGCATCAAACAGTTAACTTCCTGCTGCAACACACAGCAATTTAAAAGCCATGTGTCCACAGAGACCAATTTAAAAAGCTGTGAAAGAAAAATGCTTAAAATGACCTCTTCTTTTGATAGGAACATGCAATCAACGTCATTCCCGCAAGCTAACTCGCATCAATTTAGGTAGACAGCAGTCAGCAAGCTAATGTATTTCTCTTAAGTGTTTGTTACAAATAAGAAGGAAAAAAAGGAAAAGAAAGAAAAAGAAAAAAAAAAAGAGGCCCAGATGCGGTGACCACAGCTCTGGGCAGGTGACACAACAAAACCTACTTCAAAAGGAACACTGCAAATGGCTTTTCAGCTACGTTCAGAGAAATGTCATAACATCCATTAGCCAGGATTTTGACTCACCTGCACCGGTACAGCTTCTCAGAGCCCTGCAGCCGAGAAAGCCCGGCTTCTCTGATCTCTTTGCCCTGCTGCAAAGGCGCTTCTTACTATCATTTTGTTGCTGCCACCAATTCTTTTAATTAAACCTGTCATCTTTCTGCATACTGAGTCTTAGGACAAGAATTCCCCAGCAGCTCTACTAGCTCCCACTGAATTAGAAGGACTTGAGTAGTTTCCCTACAAGCTTGATAACTCTCATCTCTCCTTCCTGGACCAGTGCTTTTGTAACCTTTAGGAACAACTCCCAGTGGGATTTTTTGAGGCCTTGAACTAGGAATGAAAGAAAACATACAGATGGGGGTGGGAGAGTTACTTTAGAGATGCAGCCTCAGCGGCTTCATTTCAAGAAGCAAAAGACACTTCCAAAAGACCCACAACACCAAATGTCCACAGTTCAGTTCACTACTCTATTAAACCGGATCAGCACGTGGCTATTGACCCTTCAGAAATCTAAGCTCAGAATCTGAATTCATGCAACTTTCTGTAAGTCTTTAGTTCTCTTTAAATATTACATTTAAATGCTAAAGGAGCCTCTGAAAATAGATATGCACAGAGGAACTATGAGGAGGCCGTCGTTCCATAGTCAAGACAAGTACGGATTTATGCCCGAGTTACGATCTCCAGGGTCTTTGATAGCTACCTGCCCTATCTCTATACTGCTACTCTGGCCCTTACTCACCGTAGGAATCATAAGTCTCCTCACTGAGTCCGTGTCCATAATCATAGTAATCAGCACCACTGCACAAACAAAAGAAAACACAGTTAGCACAAAATGGTTTGGCAGCTTTAAGTCATGTCCAATGAAGTACCCTAAAAACTAATAACGACCAGGGCTGAAAAGTAAAAGAAATTCCCCCTGAGATGACAGAGGACAGAGCTTAGGATTATCAAAGGTCCCTCTCTTAATTCCCAAAGTTTAATATCCAATAAAAGTGTTTGGCATTTTAACTATAATATCTGGTCAATCAACGCAGAGTGTATGCGAAACCAGAGGTGGTACTTGCCCTGGAAGTGTTGGGGTCTGCAGCAAATAGGCTGCCTGGGTTGTGTGGACAGCTCTGGTCCCCTGTGCTAGGAGCTGTGGGGGTGGGGCAGGCAGCCAGCACCTCTTATGTCCAACAGATGAAAGCTCCAGTTTTTCTTTGACCCTTAGGTTCCTACTCTACAACTTGGTGCTGTGGGAATTGTGGGCACTTCCCTTTGTAAGATATTACAAACAAGGACCAAGATTAAATGTTTTATTTCATCAGTGCTATTATATTATCACCAGAATGGTGGACAAGAGGTGCCTGGTGTCAATGACTATGTGCAGTAGGACAGCAACATGGTCATGAATCTGCCGTCACACAGGCTGAGGATCTGTTCCAAGTACAGGAAAATCTACGTTCTGATGTATGATGTCCCTGAGCTAGCAAGAGGGAGAGCGCCTGTTACCACTGCCATTCTGTATATGCAAAAACACATACACGAAGCTGAAGTACCACAAGCATCTGGGTATCTGAGGAAGAGCTTCCAATCACATCCCCAGGCTTCACTTTTTTCTACTCAGTTTTGTAGGAAAACAATCATTTCTACCATTTCAGCTTCAAAATAACAAATAAGGAGTATTCAACATGGAAAGTAACCTGGTTGTTTCACACCTGGGACAGCTGGGTTAGGAAGATGCACTCCATGCCGACCTCCTGGGCAGCGTGGGAGCCTCCCAGCCCCAGACGACCTCCATCCATCTCACAGCTAGGATATTCCTCCACTGGAAGGCTGGGCAGCCAGCCCAGGATCTCACTGAGAACAGGACACCAAGTCTACTTGATGACAAACACCCTGACCCTGGGTTGAACCTAACCTGCTGCTGCCTCATGCTTCCTTTCTCTGGTAAATGACTGATTTCCAATTCCAACCACCATGTACGGTATGGGACTCCTACAAGCGAGTGGGGATCAGCCCTCCCACATAATGGTCTTCTGTCAGCAGGACTCTCCTCCTGTCTCCAGGCTGTCTCCTGCTTGGACTTCGGCCTACTGCTACCTGCAGAGAAGCCTCCCGGTCAGGGCTGGCCGGCGCCCATGACAGCAGGCTTTCCCTCTTTCTCAGCCCCCAAGCCTGCCACAGGCCCTTCCAGGCATGTGTGGAGGAATGGTGCACAGAGAAGGGGCTCTTCCTCGGCTCCAATGTGCCCCGGGCAGCGGCTTAGAGAAAGCAGTGCTGGGGCAAGTTCTCAAAGGCCAGGAGGGTTTAGGTGAAGAGAGGCCAAGGCGAAGGAAGGGACAGAGGCAGTGCCGCAAGGGCCGGCTAGGCAGAAGCAATAGTACGCACAGAAAGCAGAGGCTGCAAACAGGCTGAAGTATCTGTGTGTCTGAGTAGTTCTATCAAACAGAGCTAGTAAGTTGACAGAGTGCCTAGTCCTGAATAGTCCTGGTACAGTGTGCTTCCTCCAGGTGCAGAGCACAGGGCACACCTTGTTATCCTGGTTCAACTGCATCCTTACAAGTCAATTAAGTACACACAACGTAACACACTACAAAGTCCTACTTCTCTCTAACCGAAGCTGGCTGGAATGCGCCGTGTTAAGTGCCACTGGCTCTTTAATACTGCCCAGGCATGGAAGAGTCACCGCTACCACTGATTATCATACTAAGTGGCAATGTGCAATTTTTCCACAGAGCCACATGTAGCTACAGAATTTTTTTTAAAAAATGGTTTTGAATTGAGGGTAGCATTCCCAGAAAATTCAGAAGTGAGGAGGGGAGTGTGAGAGGACCTGGCCTGCACCACCACGCTCACCGCCTCTACTGGACAGGCCCTCACTCCATCTACAAGCAGGGATTGGTCTGTGTGTGGAAAAATGACAAAGGTGAACGAGGACATGAACTTGAGAGTTATTTTTGAGGTCAAACTGCCAGGACCTGCTGACCAAATAAATATTAGGATGAAAAAGACTTCAAGGCTTTTTATTGCAACAGATGATCAAATACAACGTCCTTAAGTGAGAAAAGCATGATGGGGGACTGTGGGCCCGTTGCAGAATTCATTCACTAACTTCATAAGAACATCTGTTCTCACACACTCAGCCCTGAGGCTCAGGCACACGGCTCCCAAAGCTCCGGAAGGAGGCCCTGCCTTGTGCTGGACCTGTGCCGGAGGGGCCTGCTGTTCACTGGGGCGGACAACATAGGAGATGTCCTACTGTCCTCTGCTCTGCCCTGTCACTCTTCCAAAAGTTTCTTCTTTGCTCCTCTGGGGCTCAAATGGGGCTTCTCCTCATGCTCAGGGCAGAAGTCGGAGCCCAATAGTGTCGCCTGATTACAGCAACTTGTATCAGTTCTCACTGGCCCCAAATCCCTCCTCTCCCTTTCTGTGGTCCTAATTTTCCTTAGGGATAGGAAACAAGTGAGAAAAAAGGGTCTCACTAAAAAAAGAGCAGATAAATTTTTTTCAGACATCTCTAGCAATTAGAGAAATGCAAATCAAAACTACTCTAAGATTTCACCTCACTCCCATCAGAGTGGAGACCATCAAGAATACAGGCAACAATAAAGTTGGTGAGGATGTGGGGGAAAAGGCACACTCATACATTGCTGGTGGGACTGAAAATTGGTGCAAACATTATGGAAAGCAGTATGGAGATTCCTCAGAAAACTGGGAATGGAACCACCATTTAACCCAGCTATCCCACTCCTTGGGTCTTAAAAACAGCATACTACAAGAACACAGCCACATCAATGTCTATAGCAGCTCAATCCACAATAGCTAGACTATGGAACTAATACTGGCATCCCTCAATAGATGAATGGATACAGAAAATGTAGTATATATACTCAATGGAATATTACTCGGCATTGAAGAAGAGTGAATTTATGGCATTTGTAAATGGTTAAAGTTGGAGAATATCATGCTAAGCGAAATATGCCAATCCCACAAAACCAGAGGCCAAATGTTTTCTCTAATATGCAGATGCTAATTGACAATAGGGTAGGGGGCACCAGGGAAGAATAGCATTACCTTACATTAGGTAGAAGGAAGTGATGTGAGGGGAAGGGAGGAGATGTGGGGATAGGAAAGAGTAGAATGAAACAGACAATATTATTGTATGTATATATGTGACTGCATGACCAACGTGATTCTGCAACATGTACATTCAGAAACATGAGAAATTATATCCCTTCTATGTATGACATATCAAAGTACATAAATGATTCTACCGTTATGTATAACAAAAAATAAATAAAAAAGATAATCCAACAACAACAATATGGTTTTCCTACATAAGACACCATAGCCTTAAACATGAGGATGCTTTTATAGAGTATTTTTCTTGTCCTGAAAACAGAAATTCAGATTCTGTCCAGTCTTTTGATACAATGTTGATGGTAAACATCAGTCAAGACACCCGAGTCAAAGCTCCAGCCTCTGCAGGGCCACCTGGGGAAGGTGGCTCCTGCTCACCAGGGCCTGTGTGTACACATCCAGGTGAGGGGCCATCTGGATGCCCCCACCCTCTAACAGCTCCAGCATCCTGCCTGGCTCACCCATAGCATCTGTTACTAAAGTAGTCAAATAACATCTAGTATTGTTGAAAATAAATTGGCTCATGCTTTTTAGAAACCCAATACTAAATTAAATAAAGCTTGGTTTTATTTCCAAAGGTCAGAATAACATCGTAAATAGCACCTTTGGCAAAGAAAACTGATATTCTTGAGAATTTTATCTCTGTTGCAGATTTGAGAATCACCTCTTGGTAAAGCTGAAAAGAACTTCCTTTACTAAGTTCTCAACTGTTTAACCTGGAACTACAAACGCACGTTATAGAGATCAATAATCAGCAGTGTCTAACAATAACTTATGGACATAACTAAGCCTCCTTTAATAAATGAAGTAAGCAGTAGTGAACATCTGCATTCACTGGAAATTTGTCTGTGAAATGCTTTACCAGAGCTCAGCATAAAAAAGGGGGGGAGGTGAAGCAGGCTTTCTGATGAACAGGAAGATAAAAGGTGGTGTAATTTGGTGTAGCAATGGTTCGCTGATAAGACAATCTTAGTTTTGACAAGTGAAAACTTGAAACTGACATTTGCTATCATTTCACCCAGTTTCTGATTATTTATTGCAAGACTGTCATCAAGCCAAGAAGCTGGGAGCAGCTGAGCCCCATTCTCCCACCTGTCAGTTCCATCTGAATTGCTTTCACAGCATTTCATTTCCTGCACCTCAAATGTCTATTAACCAAAGATGTGTCCTATTTCCCAAGGATAAGCTAAAAACCCAAGCTATGACAAAGGAGAAAAAACTCTAGAAATCTCTCCATTAAAGGGTATGCTTACAATAGTATTAATAGGTAACAGAAAGTGCGGCTGAATACTCCTCAACTCTATCAAAAGGGGCCGAGGGGCAGCCCCTCCCTCAGGAGGTGAAGGGTGGCCTTCTCTAAAATGTGCTATGGCCATACCCCAAGCTTTTCTTCCTCCTTCCACATATCTGACGTGATCAGGGGTCAGGGGAAGCCTGAGGGCTCGGCACGATTGCAGGCTGCAGTGGCTCTTGATTCCATCAACCTGAATTAAGAAACAGCCCTGAGCATTAGGAGATGAAGTGTCCCTCTGATCCTCTCCTGCAAGGAGTCAGGTACAAGCTGTAGCACTGGGAATAAGCCCACGTCTCCCGAGGCCTTGTCCCTCTATCCAGGGAGGAAGCAGGAAGACCACAAACTGAGCACGAATCCCCTTCTCCCAAGATCACCCCTT